CTATTTCAATTCATTACCACTCCCTTTCCTCCATCATTCCTCCTTCTCTTGGGATGACAGGTGTTCTGGAATATCGCAGGATGAAATTACAGTGATACACTGAACAGGACCAAACTAGATCTGCAAGCAGAGAAGGGCACCACATCCTTTGGGACTTTACTGAGTGCACTGGGGGCTTCCCAGGAACGCCAGGGCTCCCCTGCAACAGATGGGAAGGCAGCCCAGTTGAAAACTTGGCTTCAGGCTTTGGACGGGCCTCACTGGAGTGAAGGCTGGATGTTCTGCAAATTATGATATAGTGTCTACAGAGCTTTTGAACACATCACAGATTGCCCTGCTGGAAGTAACTTGGCCGAGCCATCCCTCATTCCTGTACGAATCCTGCAGATTCACCATGTTTCTAAAAATCCTTATTTTCTATCCTTTTCCCTCTCAAATGCATTACCTCCATTTTTATGCCTTTGACACAGAGGCATCTAAAATAATGCATCTAATAGAATTTAAACATTTGAAAGCACTAAAGGCAGACTGGCAAGCTATTTCTGCTTCCTACTCTGGTAAACTTGAGGACATGCACCAGGAACCTACTAACGGCTTGAATAGAGGTATTTAGGGGAAAGAAGGGGCAGGTTGAGAGGGCTGAAGACTATAAGCTAGAAGAAAAAAAAATTGATTAGTATTTCAAATAACTGCAGCAGCTCGATTATGCATAGAGGCCTCCCACGGTTCATGGACCCTGGACTGAAGTTGCAGGGATTCGATTCCTGTTCAGGCACTTGCTCACCAAGTCAATTTCAACAAGTGATTTGATCTCTCTAGGCCTCAAGGATGTCCTCATGTGCAGATGAGGATAACAAAAGCACTGTTTCTCATGGGTTGTTATGAGGATCAAACGAATAGGAGCATGCACGTAATAAATACTTAAAAATTGAAATGCTTCAGCAAACTGTTAGAACTCTTATTACAAGTGAACTTGTTTTATAGACTCTCGTATTTATAAACCTCAGAAAATACATTTTACCAATCCTAAAATCACCCACCTGTTAGGAAGGGTTAGACTAGTAATCTTGTTATTATGGCCTCATAAAGGGTAACTACTAAGGTTCTGTAAATATGCAGACAAAAGGAGCTTTGGGACTGAGTTCGAGTTGCAGTGGATGTAAAGACAAAGGAGAACTTCTCAAGTTTAGGGAAGAAGAGTCAGGAACAGGATGGAAAAGAGATTTCAAAGCTGAGCCAGGATCTCGTAATTCGCCTTAAACTCAACCACCCTCTAAACGACTTCCATGTTGGCAGGTTATTTTTTGCTTTTGTTTTGTTTTTGTTTCTAATTTTATTGGAAGATATTTTCCATGGGAACATATTTCTGGCTATAAATAGGAAATCATGGTAAAGCAGGTTTCACTTTGCTGAACTTATCGATTCTGTAAAATGAAAGCAGCACATATATACATCTGGCCAGGGCAAAGGGCACTCTGCGAGGAGTCAGGCTTGTTTCTTTCTGAACTGCCTTTCTTGGCCCTTTCAAATCCAACAGGGCTGAAAAGGAAAAAGGGTGTTCTTTAGCTTCACACAAACTCACAGCCATTTTGATGACAAGAAAGCAGTGTTGCTTACCAATGTGTCTTTGTTCAAGTGATAGCAGGCCCATTGAAACCTCTGATGGAGCTCATTGAAAATAATAGGCCCCATTATCTTCCCTGGCAATGCTGCCATGAGAGCTTCAAACACTGAAATAATGACAGCACATATTGGACGTACAGCAGAAAGGCAGAGCGTGATTATGGGCAATTTCTAGCTCTCTTCTACACACCTCTGTGTCTGAAGAGGGGGCAGGGGGCCAAGGCAGGAAGGCACAAAGAAGGGGCGTTTCGTCTCTATGCCCTTTGGGGATGTTTGTATCTTTCAAACTTAAATGTTTTGTCTTAACATAATTTGTAAAAGTGAAATACCAATTTCAGAATCGCTGAAGAAACCAGAGTTTGGGAGTAGTGGATTCTTTAATTTGGTATTGAAATTCTGTCATATTTGGTTACTCCTAGGGATGGCCACTGCAGAATTGGTATGAAATTTCTATCTGAGAGACAGCAAATGCAGTAACACAGGGTGACCCGGGGCTCAATCGATAGAGGACGGTTCTGGTGAGATCACAAAGGCCTTCGATTCCCCCCAGGTCAGCTCTCTGTGTAAACCCTGGTGTTCCCAGCAAATCTGATTTTCTGGAGTTGGAAGGAACAAACGGGAAGAGGCAGAAGCCTGGAAGGGAGGAAAACATTAGCTCCCAGGAAAAACACACAGAGCGGGAACCGGACTCAGGCTGTGCGAAATTACCAGGAGGGACACTCTCCCGAGGGCTCAGTGAGGGCTGAGCAGGAAAGCCTCTCTTCCCTCTGGGGAGAACTAGCTCTGTTTCCTTAAAGGGGGCAGGGAGAGGAATATTTGCTTTGGGGGAAACTCTCTTTTTGTCACTTGTTATTATCTCTATGTTTTCAGAAATGAAGTGTCTGAAAAGCACCACCCAACACACACAGACATTACTTTTTTCATTTGAAACAAGTCTGAAGAACACAATGTGCCATGTACATCACCCCTGAGGCTTGTGTTTATTATCAGAACAAGATGGTCTCCCTGCTTCCCTTGTGCCTGACTAGAGCTGGGGAGAGGCCGGTGGCAGTAACAGCATCGTCCGGCTGCTGTGGCAAAATGATGAGAAGTGACAGGAAGGAAAAGGATATCTAGTAGAAACTGCCCACAAATCTATCCAGTGGTTGAGGCTGGCAGTTACGTTCCCCCAGTCCCAGGTAGGGAGTATTGAGAAGCAACTCTAAGGGTTTATTGGGACTTACATCTATACAAGAAGTAAACTTCCTCTCCACCCTCATCCTTCTTCTGTCACATGCCTCTCTATATTCAGTCTGGCGTGTGACTACTTCCTTCAAGGGGCACAGTCCAAGTGACAATGTTATTTGATTTGAGAGATGTACCCCTTGGGAAACGTATGCCAGTCTACCTTACCAGCATGTGTGATCGCACACGTGCACGCTGATGCCACACGTGGCCCCTCCATGTCACACTAAACCACAGAGAGGCCTGAACTAGCAAAAGGCAAGTGAGGATTTTCTGGGTGGCTTGGTGTCTGCATAGCAAGGTGCTGGCCAGGTCTCTACACCTTGATGCATCCATTTCTTCAGCTAGACTAAAAGCTCCTTCAGAGCGATGACATTTCTGTCTCCATGTCTGGCACCTAATGGATGCTACAGAGATACTTCTGAATTAAACTCTCAATCAAATATAAAAATCATTACTACTAAAAGTAAAATGTAAGCAGATTTTAAGAAAAAAATTAAATGTCTTGTTTATAGCTTCTTAAATTATGTAATTTTTGCCTTTCTAAAATCTCTTTGAAGTGGAATTCAAGGCCAAAATTTCATTATATTTATTAAACTCTGTCTTATGCCCTTCAGCCTTCTATACCAAAACACCGGAGACTGCGTAGCTTAGAAACAACAGAAATTTATTTCTCACAGTTCTGGAGGCTGGGAGGTCTAAGATCAAGGTGTTGGCAGACTCTGTCTGGTGAGAGCCCACTTCCTGGTTCACAGATAGAGGCTTTTTTTACTGTGTCCTCACGTAGCAGAAGGGGCTAGGAAGCCCTATGGCATCTCTTTTATAAGGGCGCTAACCTCATTCATGAAGGCTCAGCTTTTGGGGGTACACAGACACTCAGACCACAGCAAACTCCAAATAAGATGTCTTCTCTTCCCTTTGAATCTGACAAGGCATTTTACTCTCAGACCGTTTCACTATTACAGGTGCTTTCCCCTGAAATATCTCTCTCAACAGCAATTCATCTTCTTGTCTACCATGCTTGTTTTGTCCTCTTATTATTGGGGGGGGGGGGGCGTAATATTTGTTTATGTACTTATTTCCTTTTTACAAGTTTGTTTATCCTTTAAACAAAAGTGCTGACTTGGTGAAATCAAAGTCTTAATAGTCAATAGGAAAAAAATTACAAAAGGGGCTCCACTGTTCTGAGATCTGTAATTTCTTAATATTTATTAAAGTTTAGTCCAAGAATAACTTAAATGGGATTGCTGATTATTTAAAAAACAAATTCTAGGCTCTACTCCAAATCTTCTAAATTGGAAGCCTTGGGGATGGCCTTCCGGAGTCCTGCATTTCCAGGTGTCTGTCCAGCTGGGAACATCCCAGACAGTTCGTATCCAAACAAGTACATGAGAACAGTTAGATTCAGGCCTCAGAAAGCATAGCTGGACCCATGTTTCTAGGTGAAACCTCACAATTATAGCTTCCAAACAAAATGAATAAGTTCTGTATCACCTCTCAAAAGCAATCTCTCAATATTGCACTGTTTTCTGTCCATAGTGTAAATAACAGTATTGAAGAACTTTCCAAAGCCATAGATTTTGTTTTAAGGGGCTGGAAGGAAGATATGGTACAATGTATCAGAGAACGTGTTTCATCTCTTAGGGCATGTCCGCTGTAGAATTGGCTGTGAATTAAAATCTGCAGAGTGTTCAATAGTGTGGTCTGTTAATAGCACACACAAAGCACTAGCCCTCTTTCAAAAAACAGTGCTTAGGGAACTTTTGAATCTCTCCCTCTAGCATACCTAGAGTATTTAACCCTCCGAATGGACCAATTAAATTATTTTCAGTAATGATCATGTAATAATCAGTGATAATCATTAATATCTTGATTCATCTCTTATTTTTAAAGCAAAACAGTAGCAACTTAAAAAGCATATATTTCAACTTTAAGTTATTCAAATTTGTTATATTATTTCATGTATAATCTAAAATTTGCAGTTGCCAGCAATATGCAGTTCACTTGTTTCACTCTTGCAAATTTTAAACACACGTACAAACTTCAAGTAGTCACCTAGAATAACAGAACTAATTCATGTTTTCTTTCTTCATTTTACAATCATGTACAATCATTGTTCATCTCCTATTTAAACCCAGGAATATGTGGAACCGTGGCATTTGAAGACAAACTTGAAGGATGTCAAACCATTTCGAACTACTTTTGAACTAAACTTGTGTAGGTGGGTCCACATGTATCAGGGGCTAGTGTATGACTGGGAGTTCTCTAAGTACATTTTATGTAGACTGTAGTGTTGATTAAGGAATAAATAATAAAATGTGCTAATTTGGAGGTCACATATATATTATTAGAACTCAACTGTAACCTCAGTGACTGTTTAGAAATTAGATCAACAAGAAATTTTTTTCAGTGGAATATTTCATTATTCGACATTGTTTAGAATTGCTGGTGCACGGTGGTAATGAAAAGTGGACAGTTTTTTGGTAGGTTTTATAGTAATAAATTTATAGTAAATAAATTTTAAAATTCTTTGCAAACAGTGCACCTTCTTTTTGTCTGCACCTGGGGTGGTAGATCCCATTGCACAGCTGTGATTGGGAGTGGGGAAAGTTCCACATCTGTGTTTGTCTCTCCTTTGATGGATGCTAGTAGTTTGCATAATTTAAGGCATTGAACTGCGTATCTCACCTTGGTAGTTAGGGGATTCTTTTTCTGCTTTTACTGGTTGTGTTCCATTGGATGGTGGCAAAATAGCACTGGTGGTGCTGGGCAGCTCAGGCTCCCACAGTGATATCACTTTATGGCAGACAATACTGGCATTTCTTTGCCTGGAAATAGTCACCTGGTTTTATACCATCCCATACCTCATTTAACCTCCAGCTCGTCCCTCTGCTCCAGCCAGTCCAGTATTCTTGCAGCCAGGAGAACAGGGTTTTGTGAAACAATTGAATGTTTGTGATTTAATTTCATCCTCACTGAAGTCACTGAAGGGATATTTGTTTTTTCCTATTTTGTGGATGAAGAAATGGAGTTTCAGTGAACCAGGAAGTGGCAGAGTTATAATTAGTGCCCAAGATTTCTGCCTGTGTCCTTCACTTTTGCTTGTATTATCTCCCTGTTAGGAAACATCACTCTTATATCCTGGACTATGTAAATCCTTTCTAATTTTTCATTCTTTCTCCCTTTTTCCCCATAAAATATTCTCCCACTACTCCGACATCATGGAAATGATAGCATATAATGTGTGTCTAATATTTAACAGTTTGAAAGGTCTTCCATGTTTTCTTATTTTGTCTTCCTAAATTAGCTCTTCCCTGAAAAGCAGAGGTTACCATGACCTTTTGGTCGTATGGGTCATAGAGTTGCAACTGGAGTCAAGGTCTCTGATTCCAGTCCTAGACTCTTTCTACCATACACCACACCTTTCCAGTTTTGAAACAGCTTTTTGTATCTTATCTCTTGGGATTGCCTCCTATGCCATTCGAATATTATTTACTTTTTTACGTATGTGTTAGTCTTTTCTCTTTTCCCCAACTGATTGACTGGAAATATCTCTTTGCCATTATCAGTCCTTTGGCTCTTGGCATGATTTATTTTCTGAGTCTCTTCTTCATATTATGGGTATTTTTATTAGCATATTCTTATCATTCTCCATGGTACAATATTTTTACCTTTGTTTAAGTTATTATTTGAGCCCAGCATCTTTCCATAGTTTGCAGCATCTTCTTGGCCTAAATTCCTCTACCTACATGTTCAGTCCTTCTCTCGAGCTGTACCCTGTGATGTGTCACTATGCATTTGGTTTCCCAGCTCCAGACATGTGACTGCCTCACACTCTCACTGCAACTGTCATCCAGATGAAGCATTAGAGAGAAAAATTAGTAGAAGGAAGGGTAAACTGTTTAGAAAATTCTGACTTTGAAATTCTGCTGGAAATTTCCATCCATGACCTAGTAACAGATGAAAGATATATCTTCAGATTAGACAAATGCCCTAGAAATCACCTGAATTTGGATTAAAAAAAAAAGAAAGCCTTGCTCACATGACTGTAGCTATCATCAAGACAGTAGATGGATGCAATTAAATACCACTGAACTAAGAGTTCAAAGACTATGAACTCACTAGAGTTCAGACCTCATAGAGTTGAGGTCCTTGAGAGCACAAACTGTCTAATTATTAATATTCATATTCCTGGTGCACAGGTATTTTTGCCTTATATACATCCTCAGAAGTTTGTTAGCTGAATGAATGAATGAACAAAGTAAGAATGACATCAAGCACAGCTTCAACTCTGGCTCTGCCACATACTAACTGGATAACCCAAGGTGAGTCAATAATTTTCACCGTGACAGCTTCCCTGTACATAAACCTGGGATTTGAAGTGAATAGCTACCTTAACCTTGGTGTTATTATGAAAATAAAATACTGCATGCTTATTAATCGTAACTAGGTAATGAGCTTGTTAAATGGTAGTGCCACATATTTCGTATCAGTTAGAAATGGTTTTGACTGAAAGTAACAGAAACATTTCAACAAAGAGCAGTTTATCTTTCCTATATAATCTAAAGACCAGAGGTTAGCTAATGCCGGTGTTGGTCAGCAGCTCAGTGATGTAAGGGTCCGTGTCTCCTCAACTTCTTTCGCCTTTTATGATCACAAGTGACAGCAGCAGCACCAGCTGCCATACTGTGTTCTAGAAAAAGGCAGGTAGGAAAAGCGACGCCAGTAGTGTGTTTTCTTTTATCCAGAAAGTTAACATTTCCCTAGAAACTTCCCTAGCAGACTTTAAGATTTCATTGGACAGAACTTTTTAATGACTACTCTTAGGAGTTTTTAAAGTAACAGAAGGGACTGTCATGAATGGCTTTAGCCAATCATGTTTTATTACCTAGGGTTGGGCAAACTCTGTTGCAAACAAAATTAGGACACTGTAAGCCAGAAAAAATGCTATGAGAGGTTCTTGGGAAGACATCCAACCATGTCTTCCACATACATATCCGGAGATGTTATGAAGAACAAGATTTTAGGAGAGAAAAACAATATGCCAATGCTTGCACTGGGCGTGTGTGTGTGTGTGTGTGTGTGTGTGTGTGTGTGTGTGTGTGTGTG